TGATTTTACTTTTTGTTTCTTTCTTTGAAGTACTATTTGCTCATTTTACCTTGCCAGAAATGCTTGCTTGAAATACATACTGGGTAATTTTTAACTTTTTCCCTCAAATACGTTTTATTTCAACAGCCAATCCATCACAAAGACTAGAACAGTATTGCGCTGAATTTTGAATAAGCCACCAGTCTTGAAGAGGATATTCAGGAGTGAAGGGGATATAGAAGGGACTTGATGCAATTCAAGGAAGATCACTTTGGCTGTATTTTTCAGCAAAAAATGAAATAGAACAACCTCTTTCTTGCCTGTAGAATAAAATGAACTGTCAACATGTTTGGTAGACCTTTTTCTACCGTCCTAACACTTTCTCAAAACCAACAAAATCTACATACATTCAGACTCAGGTGTAAATATTTTAAGCTCTCTATTATAAAGAGGGCTTGCCAGTATATATGATGCATGTGTATGAATTGTGATGGCAATCACTTAGCTGCTGACCACCAGATGGTGGGAGCTTTTAAGTATATAAATCTGTGTTCTGCATTCAGACTGGGCTTAAGTCTTCACTTGAGTCTGAGAATCAACCACAAAAGCTTTTTTTTTCTAACAGTATTGGTACTCTCCTGTGTTGATTGGCTGTTCTTTCTTACTTTGTATGAAGTTTTTTATGAAGCTGCAGTATTGAGTACACAATGTAACTATTGTCCACCAAAGAGTGCTTTATTGTCAAAGGTTGTGTGGTTTATTTAGGAAAAAATAATTGTGAGTGATTAACTTGTTTGTAATAGTGACAGCTTTTTAGTTGTTCACAACCAATTGCTCTTTGAAATAGTTATAACTGCTTTAAATCTGGTATGATTTTAAAGAGGGAGGAAACACTACCATTTAAAGCAGTGCTGCCATATTGAAATGTCATTGCTGTTTCTTTTCCTGTCAAGTCCTTTAGGTGAAACTTTAAATTACTATATATGAAAGGTAAGAATTCCCCCCAGATTTGATTGGTACACCTGGTAACCTGGACAATGCTGGTTTTTTACTTTGTGACACTTAAAGAATGCAGCACACAAAAAGAAGGGAAAATAAGGGTGCCATACAACTGAGGTAGTAGAATTCAGAGGCAGGTAAAAATTTTGACAGCTAATGCTTTAAGAACTACAATTTATCTCTGTTAAAAAGCAGTGTAATTTTTAGAGGAATCTGCTTGAGACTGAAATTTTCATTCCCTACAGGACTACAGTGGGTTTTTTTTTCCTACTACTTTTCACATTATGACATTTCAAAACTGATGTACCCTTGTCCACCAGCTGATGGTTATAGCTGCATATCCCTCAGATGAGGGCTGGTACCACATAGCCTTAAATATAAATCAGTTGATCTAATGACTCTTACAATAGAAAGTGGAAGAAATGGAGAAATCTGAAATGTTAGTATTGGAATAATTGAAGTTTTTAAAGATGCATATTATGTCTGTGAGAGAGGGAAATTTATTTCAATGAATGTAGATGTGCAGTGGCTAGTTTTAATCCACATCCTTTTAAATAGAAACTAAGCTTCCTGCTGGCTGATGACTTTTGAGTGCCAGTATGAACATCACACAGTGGTTTTAAAACATTTGAATCATGAACTGTAGAGGAAACAGGATGTGAAATGTAAGCAAGCTTACAGGTAACATCCATGTGCTTAGCTAGACAAAAATCTGCAAATATGAATACAAATTAAAAAGAAAAGGGTTAATGCAAAATAAAGGATCATTGAAGGCTCAGACTGAAAATATCTTTTTTGTTTTCTTCTTAAACTTCCCTTTTCTCCCCCTTTTCTGGTAGATAAAAAGCTTCTAAAAGAGAGAGACTGATCATCCTGATAAGGCAGTTAAAATTCCTTAGGGTTTGAATGGGATTGGTTGATTTGGGGGGGAGGTTATTTGGTTTTTTGGGGGTTGTTGCAGTTTAGAGGTTTTTGGGTTTGGTTTGTTTGGTCAGGGTTTTTTAGTCGGGGTTGTGTGGTTCAGGTTGGTTTTCTTGGTTGGGTGGGTCTTTTTAGTTAGGCATTTGTGCAAAAGCTTACATACAGGCAACCACAATAGTAGGTCTGTTGTGCAAACATGAATCTGTTCATTTTTGAACAAAATTCTGGTCTTGGAAGGCAAAAAGGATGCAAATTGTGAAGTGAGAATCAGAATAAAGATTCAGTAATATTTTCTGTGTTTGGCTTTGCCCTTCTCTCAGCTGAGCTGCTTGTTTTAGCATCCTTTTTTTAAGCTAAAACTAATTTGTCTCCATCTCACGCCTTCCAAATTCCAAATCAAAATTTGCCTCATTTAAAGTAACTAGCAGAGTCATTAGCACTTCTAGGTTTATAATGTTAGTGCATAATGTTAGTGCACAAACAATAGCAACTCTAGCTAAACCAAAACTACATGTTTGGCATCAGTCTTTTTCAGGATACCCCATCCACAACACAGTACCTTGGTGAAAAACACATAAATGTGAAAGGGATATTACATTTTAACTTTCCAAACAGCCTTATATGGAAAATTAACTTATTACTTCATTGTGCCCCTCCAATTGTACTGTTTAGTTTGTTACAAACTTTCATTACCTTGTATAACATTTTTAATGTACCATACCAGAGGTGTTTTAGGTAAAAGAATGAAGAGTGGGCATGGATGAGGAAGTCTTTGGTTTCTAGATTTTTTTCTGTATTGTGAAGTATTACATGCCAAAATTGAATATGTTGTGGTAGTTGCATCACCTTTGTACAACAGAAGTTGTTTGTACTGTCAGCAGTTAGGAGATTCTGCTTAGAAATTCTCTTTCAAATGTGACAGATGGATTCCCCCTCAATCTATTAACTCAAAATATACTACATATTCAAAAGCTGTAATATCTTGGGTGAAATTTCTACTTTTTATTACAGCATCAAAAACACTCAGATGTTAACCTAGACCCTGTCTTTTTGCCTCAGTATGACAGTAGAGGAAGCACTGCTGATTTAAAACAGTAAGAGATGATAGAAAAAAAAAATAACAAAACATACATGTGATGTTCACCAGTTTGTTGCACTGCAGTTTTTATATTAATTGTTTGCAGACTGTCATATGTCATATATAAACATGGGTAAACACAGACTATCGAGGTCTAAAAGTTTTTGACTAATCAGTACTGTTCATCCTGATTATTTTTAAACTGTATATTTCTAATATTTTTTTAATTAGGATTGACAGAATGAAAGTTTATTTTGCTGAAGGTATTTTTAAGATAAAGCTTCATATTATCTTGTAATATTAATTAGTTCAATATGCATTTCTGTGTCATTTGAAAATACTGCAGACTGCATTTTATAGAAAATACTGAATAGTGAGAAGTGTAAACATGAATTGTGTAAAATTAAAAATAATTAGAAGGGTTTTTTCTGTTTTATTTCCAGTATGATCACAAAGCCATCTGTACCAGACTGACTATTATGTGCACTGAAAAAAAACACAACACACTCAGCTGCCTGAAAACCTTTTAATTAAAACAGATTCTTAAAACACATTTTTAAAATTTAAAAAATAGAGACTTTCTGGCTCTACATTTCTGGGAACTCACATTGGAAAACAGTACACGTATTTGAATTGTTGGGATACTGTTACACAGTGAAAAAAGCACAGTAAGACAGAGCAGCGTGGTATTAGTGATTATTTCTCCTTCATCTCTGATTATATAGTATTAATTTTTAGAAACAGGCAGCATCTTAAATACTATATGCTTTGTTGCTTACCATGACAGTGAAGACCTCCCAAAATAATGAAATCTTTAGGAACACTGATTTTTGCACAAGCACTGGTGAGGGCCCTAGCTTAGTCTTTTAAAAAATACCAAAAAGCAAAAAATAGTGACCAATTGAAAAACTTATCGCCCTTACCTTACCCATATTAGAAAACACAGAATTCGCACACACCAAGCAGAGCCAGTTTGACAAGCAAGTAAACTTCTGCTTGCCTCAAAGATAGTTTGATATTTGGAAAATCTGTGTTCTTCTGTCGTAAGGCGACCTTTCCAAATTTACATGAATGTTTAAGCACCTTTTCCTGACAAACAGGTTGCCTGATGAAGCGTGAACAATGGGTTCTGACTGGGAGAACACTAATTTATGCATGTGATGCCCACAGGAAAACACAGTTAACCCCTATCACATCATTAGCAGTTTTAGGAGCACTGGCACTGGGCAGGGGAGTGCAGAGGACTAAAAGAATCCCACAGAGAAAAATTGAGCAGGGGCCTGAGACAATTCCACTGAGAAGTTAATGTTCTGCAAGAATAATCTGTTCACAGTAGTTCTGAGTAACTTCAGTTTCGGTCTATTTAGCCTCCTTTGCAATCCAGTTTCTACATTGCTTATGTAACAGTAGACAAAAACGTGCTATAGCAAAAAGGATGCACTGTTATACATGAAATCTGAATCTGGTTCTATAGAGAACCTATGCTTTAAACCTACCTTACCAAGGGTTTGTTGAGGAAGAGATGTTTTTTACCTGCACTTCTGGTTTTGGGGTTGGTTTCATATGGATGTGACTAATAAGTCCTGAATATGGAATAAAGCAAAGAGAACACAGACAAGGGTGATGTGCTTTGGAAGCTCAGGGAGTGATGGACCAAAGCAGTTGCAAAGATGACTTTATCTCAACTCGAAGGGAACATAGGGTGGCCTTTATTTTGGACAAATGACTATCAAAGTTTGAGTGGATCAACCAGTACTTCCTTAGTAAGAATAAAGACCAGGCCACTATGGGGAGAAGGATTATGTATGAATATATAAAAGCCAGACAACCGCCATAGGAATATCAAAGTGAGCAATGGGCTTCAACTGATCAACCCTCCCATTCCTTCTTGACACCTGGGGACGCCTGACATGGTGACAATGAGGATGTCTTTCATAGGGACCGGTAAAGGGAGTTGAATTGTGATTGATCTGTGTACTGCAATTGCTACATTAAGAATAATACTATGTTTTTGTGTTTTCAGTACACTTTATGTCATTCTAAACCAGAAATGCCACATGACATGAACCATCTTCAAGTAAGTAAATCTGGTATTAAATATGACACCCTCCATCCATGGGGCATTTCCAAGAGCCTTGTCAAGTGTTGGACCATCACAAAAGGGGTGGGAGAAGGCAGCTAAAAAGTATGTCCTTTAAACAACTCCATTCCTGGTCCATGTCCTCCCTATCAAAATCTGTCCTAGTTCTTAAGGCTGAAAGAGTCCAGACAGGCCAAGCAGCCACTGGCGTTTTTGATCCCTCAACATCAGCATGGTAGCCCTGCTGCATAAGAGCATAGCAGCAATGAAAAGCTCTTCTGTGTCACTAGCACCTCCACCTCCCAGCTTTTCCAACCATGCCAGTTGCTGCAGCTCAGTTACAGCACTAACAGGATAAAGTGGCAAACCCTAAAGTCCTTGTACCCTGACAGCACAATGGAAACAGACCCTTGGCATCAGCTATTACAAATGCAAGAAAATCCAGAGAGTGATGCCAACAGCAGGAGGGTAAATAATGAAACATCTCTTCTTACCCTTGTGAGCTTGCTTTTGCCTCTGTCAGTGCTTTGATGCCAATCTTTTAAGATGACAGAATAATTCCATTGTTTTCTACTCAGTGGAAGGGCTCAGCCTCCTCATTATCCCTCCTTCAAACACAGCTTTTCTCTAGACCTCCTTGCATTTCTTCCTGAGTTCATGTTCTGCTATTATTGATCATTTCCCAAAATGGCATGCTCACTGAACTGAATCTCTAGGCAGTACTTACGACACGTATTTGTTCTGCTTTCATGCTTTTAGGTGCTTTTTGTCCATCGCTTTACACCAGCATCATACCTATTGTAAAGTGAACTGCTGTTAAAGGTTGATTTTTTTTTTTGAGTTCTATCTCTTCCTCCCACTGATCAGGCCTTTCCAGCCTCTGGTCTTCTTTCACTCTGGTGGCAGTTTCACTAAAAAGGTTACTAGGTTTTACTTCTCCCACAATAGCTTCTAAGGTTCCAAGTCTCTGCTAGAGCCAGCAAAAACTCTGAAAAGCAGCACTCAATCCATAAGCAACAGAAATATAACCAAACAAGTAACAAATACAGAATTCCTGGATCGGAGTATATTGACAAGCTTATTATTCTCTTCTGGCATGAGAAAAAAAAAAATTGTATCTTGCTGTTATTTTTATGTTTTGGCAGAGCTATCCTGCTGATTCAACTGCAGAACAAATTCACAGTACACAAAATTCAGTATCTTTCATTCAAACATACTGTACAAATCTTGACAGAGGAACTGCTATTGCTAAAAGCAAGCAACAGCTTATTGAGGCCTGCTAACTAGCTGTAAAACATCATAGAGACAACAGAACACAGATTATGAAGTCACACCAATTTTACTAGTAACTAGTTACCTAAACAGGGAGATCAGAAACTTAACTCAATTTATTTAAGGCTGGAACATCTCCAACATAACACTATCATTAAATGTGATGCAGTATATAAGGCTGCACTGAAGACACAGCTATCTGCAACACTTGTATCACAAATTTTAAAAGGCATTTGTTTTCAGAGAATTAAAACGCCAGAAAGAAAGTATTTCAAGTTAAATTCTAAGTAACACAACCAAAGTGTAACAGTTGTTACTTCTTCCAAAGACTGAAGGCTGCCCCCATTCAAGCACGAACTGTTCAGTACTTGCTCAGCGTACACTACTCAGAGAGAACAACCTTTGATTTCATGCCCATTATTCACCAATGGAAGTGTATTTTTTATGCAAAGATAATCATGTTTCACATTCAATTATTGATCCACTGAAAATGAGTCAGCACAGCATTACTTCCAACACTGCATATATATATATGTGTGTATATACACGCATATATTCAGTTTTTTATATGAATGTGTGTGTATGTGCCTGTGACAGCTCTGGGAAAAAACAAGGAAAGTTATATGAAAATTATGTAATACAGGATTAAGAATAATCTTAATGGCATAAGCATACTAGAGGTATAAATTTTGCGATTGGGCCCAAAGCACACAAGGCTTGTTTCTATACCAAAAAATTCAGTAACCAGCTGAAAGCTCATCTCCTATAGGCTCAAATGCCCAATTTTCCTACTTATCAACTCAGGGATTTTTACTTCTGAGTCTTTAATCATTCTTTGGTATTCTTATCTTAAGCACATACATTTCTGTCCTCTAACTTGTAAAGGCACTTTCATATTAATATATGCTTGCCAATCCTAAACCATAGTACTGCATATGATTCAACTGAACTACAGACTATCATACATAAATGACAGTCATGGAGAGAGGTGAATTCCTTTCTTTGCAAACTTACTGTGACTTGCATGAATCTAAAATTTCAACCTGAAATGCAGCAGTTTTTCCTAGGCCATTCAGTACATTAACCCAAAGAGTAACTGGTAGTAGTGCATTAAAGAATAACATGACTAAGATCTGCAACACAATTTAATCTCTTTTTAATATGCATGCCATGTTCTACTAGCGTGTGTGTATATATTTACACCTGCTGCCAACTGCTTTACATGAAGGAGTAAAAGCTACACCAGGAGTGACAGCAGCAAATCTGTACTTAACAGATACAGCTATTTTGGTACCTGAAATATGACAGATGACAGATTTACAACTCTGTTAACACAGCAAGGCAAAGAAATTGCATCACTGTCATCACTTAAAATTAATAATTTCTTTTCTACACTTGGATATACCATCAACTAGAGAAACTCTTAAGCCATATTCAAGTCTGACAGACTGAAAAATAAAATTGTCACACATAGGTGTTCCAAGAAACCTGCAGTTTAAGCAGTAATTAATTACACCAAATCTCATTCTTACAAAGTTTTGGATTGGATGGGTTGTATCTTTTAGTTTTGGTTGGTTAGTTTATTCTAGTTTTAATTGAACAGTCTTGTAACCAGCCTTTTTTTCCTTTTAACCAAGAGTTTAATAATCTGCTGATCAAAAGAGGATTATACAGATAGATTTTCACAAGTCCTTTAAAGCATTCCCCAAAGGACCTACTTGTCATTCTGTTTTGAAAGGCAGATCAGATTTAGAGGAATTAACAGTAACTTTGCAACAGCAGGAAGGAGATTGAAAAATAAAGCAATTCTCTCAGCCTTCCCAGAGAACAGTCAGAACTAAACTGAATGCATCACAGCAGATTGAGCAAAGATCTAAATTTTTAGTTGAAAAAAGGGAGGGTTACATTTAAGTATATGAACACTCTCCTTAGCAAGAAGAGGTCTTAGTAGAATAGAAGGCTACATTCAAAACATGATGGGAAATAGAAGGAAGCCCTGCAAAGAAGCTCTCCACATCTCTATGCATACACTCACCCCAGCAAGTAAAAATAGAAATAAATATTCAGACACATTCTTCCCTGTCCAGTGGGAAAATGGGAACAAGAAGGGAAGAACAAGTGAAAGATTCCAAGACCCCACAACACCTGTAAAATGGGCAGCATCAGGTAAATCTTAAACTGCAATGATTTCAAATAACTTATTTGTGACTACAAAGTGAAGTAGTCGTGCATTATTTCATCCAGTTCAGTTACTCAAAATAGCAGCAGCATGGGTTCCTCTAACACCAGCACTTTGCTTTTGGATGTTCTTCCTACTCTACTGCAAGTCAGAGCATCTCTGTGTGCCAGTACGATAAACTTGCAGAATACAAAATCTCATGTAACAGAAAATTGTCATGTAAGTAATTTAACAATGTAAAAAAAAAAATCCTCTGGGCTGAGCTACTCTGCTGACCATCTGTTTGGAGCAATTAGAAAAGAGTCTTTCTAGGATGACTACATCCTATTTGAGTAAAGCCTTATTAGTAAGAAAAGTCTTTTAAGAATGTGAGTACTGTTAAAGTTTACTCCAAAGCAAAATTTTCTTTTCTTCTAAGTGTCATCCACTATTTGATCTCAGAGACTGCTTAGAAGTAGGCACAGAACTGGGAAAGTGAAAGGTTTATAGTCATCTGCTTTCCCAGTAAATTGAAAGAATGTGTTCAAGTTGAGTAGGCATTTGAAGACTCCTTTGAGGCTGACAGCTACTTCCAAAAGGTCCAGTGTGCTTGTGCTCTCATTGCTTTCTGTCATCACCTCCGGCACCATTTTCTTGTTTCTCTCAGATCCCCCAGAATGACTCTCAGTGTCCCCTTGGACAGTAAACAGAAAGTCTGGCTCAAGTATGTTAAAGCTGCAATGAAAGAACATTGCACCTCATCCCCATCATCACATATTTCTTGATAAGGCATGAAACATTTTAGTTGCCCCTGCTAAAATTAAAAGCTTTCTTAATAATACAGTTCTGTCTTTAGATCAATATTCTTATTTTATTTAATCTTCAAAGTAATTGCAGACTACATCTTGTTACTGAAGTAGGACTTAGGTGTTAATTCAAAGCATCTGTGCTGCTTTGATTTTAAAGATCACTTCAATTTAGAGAGATGTTCAATTTTTTTGGTGTACAGATTGCTGTTTAGGGTTTGGGGTTCCCCCCCCCCACTATTTTTCCCTCAGACTACATCCAAATAGCAAAAGCTTCCACCTACCACTCCAACTTCTTAAAATAATACCTCAAACCCAAAGCAATGTGCACTTCTCTTTATTTGCCAGACTCTGAAGAACTGCAACTTGCAACTATCTGAAATATACACTTCACCCAAAGGAAACAGCTTTCAAATGTACAGTGAAATTAAGTCCCAGTTGTAGATCATGTTGTACAGTTTACATTTCACCATGGTGTCATGGAGAACTTGATATAATCTCTATATATACATTTTTAAACACTCTTCCCTTTAACTTCACTTGAAGCCTAATAGGGAAGTACTGTAAGCCTTCCCATAAGTTTCACAAATAGAGGCAGACATTGGAACCTGTGACAGGACCCCAGTCCACCCATGTTTCCAGAACCCAACTCTATCAGCAGACAGCTGCAATCATTCCACACCAAACACCAAAAAACTTTTCAGAAGGAAACAGGCTTCCTTAATCCACACCAGCATAGAACTGGTCTCTTCATAGTTACAAAGCAACTTTGAGATACCACCATTCACAATGGGTCTTCAAGCTAAAGCTGGAAAATCCTCAGGATCATCAGGATTTGGAGGAACAAGCTGTACCTATAAAGGAAGCAATGAAGTTCTATAAAAATGAATGCATTTCAAAAGTATCTGACAGATATGTATATGTATTTTACCCTCAAAAGGGTTCATTCTTCTACTCAAATGCTACTACTACTCAAATTGTATCCATCTCTATCACAAACTTTTATCTCAGATCTTGTGACTACTATAATTTCTTTTCAGTGTGAATGTTTTTATAATGCTGCCTGGAGAGAACCAGAGGATCACAAGTTCTGCAACAGTGAACAAAGAAAAAAGTAAAGTAGTCTCAAGAAAAATACTGCATATTTTTAGAAGCAGCATTACTATATTTTTACATTCGAGAACCAATGAACATATTGTAGTTTTAATTGCTCTGATCTGTTACTATAAAGAAACTTTTTCTTCCAGATGAAACAAATGCATTAACACTTCTATATTATTCTGAAAGCTCCTGGTCTTAAAGCATTTTAGTCACAGTAAAGCTTCTGTTAGTATGAAGAATAAAGATGTCACTTTTCTAGTGTGCAAATGCTTTTTTTTCCGAAGGAAAAGGTAAGTGGAAGATTTTTATAATGGTTGTATTGAACACTCAAATCAATTTGTAGGATCACAGATTTACTGACCTCACTGTCAGTAATAAAAGTATTATTATATCACACAGATTTTTTTTCAAAGAGATACAAGCCTTTAGTTATTTTAATTACTTCTCAATTTATATCAAAACTCACTGCATCCTTTCCTCTAGTAATCTTTAGACCATCTAGTAATCAGACCTTTTTAAATGTGTTGAGAGTTGTGAGCCTGAATCAGTATTTAATTTCAAGTAACATAATATGGTCCAGGAACTCAGTATGCAGGATAACATACTATGAGACAGGAATTAGAAACAACTCTGTCACTACAGAAATCAAACTTTTACACAGAAAAGGACAGAACACACACAAACACCATCAACAACAGAAAAACAAAACAAAAAACCCAACAAAAACAAACAAAAAAACCCAACACCAAACATAAAATCTATTACCACTACTTCTGGTCGAGGTCCTGTCTCTTCAGGTCTTCTGCCACGACCACGACCACCTCGTGCTCCTCTTGATCCACGGCCAGGGCGAGGAAGATTCCCAAAATTAATATCCAACTGAGAAGTTATATCATTCACTGGTTTTCGAAAGACATGAGAATCATCTTCAAAGTCTTCTTTTCGCAACTAAAGAGAAGATCTGGTTAAAGCCTACAGTTTCCATGTATGAGCTTCTCCCCTCCCAAATACACATTCACACTTGTATTACAGTGTAGCAGTAGATAAACCAAGATGGTATCTGGAGTAGAAGACAGGCCTTAACATGTACAGGATTTTAACATAGATGAGGTAATTGCAGCTTCTCAGATGCCTGAGGTAGTTCTTTGTTGGCTCAGAGATTCCTGGCAACAAAAGCTTCTGTACCAACTCCATAACACTGAAGATGTCTGTCAGAAATATAATCTAGGAGGTTTTCAAAGGAGCTAGAGCATCAGACCTCAGCTACTTATTCCTACAGTTATCTCCAAGTAATGGATAAAAGGCCATACCAAATCTACTTAATCAATGTATTCATCTACATGCCTGCAGCTATGAGATTACTGTGGTTTTAACTGTGTGTTTCTAATAGCTAGTGCATGTCAGACTATTATTACTACAGTCCCTATTAAAGTTATGCTGGGCAATAAAGTATATGTTAACTCATCCTTTATAATGATGAGTCACTTATTCAGTGTCTCATTCAGGGATTTCACTTGCCTATAAAACAGTTCCTGTACCTCCTGTTCTGTGTTCATTTTAACAAGGTCTCTTGACACTACCAGAACAGAAACTTTTTGGGTAAAAGGAAGAGGAAGTTGTGTGTATTCTTCACACATCTGTATTCTCTCTTTGGAGTTTGTGAAAGATGCTCACCCCACCCCTACCATTACCTGTCTAAAAGAAAGAGGGGATAATGGCAACCCTGACCAAAAAAGTCTCACTAAAAAGAATGCAGACTCAATGATCTGAAGTGATTAAGCAAGTTTTGCTGTTAATATTCTAACTAGAGAAAATATGTGTATTCATAAATGCATGTAGACTTCAAGGATCAAAGTAAGTGCTAGACTATATGCACATGCTTCTGTGACTCCCAAAATCTGAAATCTAAGTCAGCTAGAATTTGAAAGAAGCTTCCCCTCTCTCCTCAGAACCAGTAGTTCTCCCTGAAATTTCAATCTAAATAATATCATGGAGTAAAATTTAGAGGAAGTGGGGAGGGAGTGCACGCTACAGCACCACAAGCTCTCCAGGGTTAGTTCTAAGACGTAGGACCCAAAAAAACACACCCTAAAAAAAAAAGAAATAATTTTTCCAAGTGCACAATGAGATACATGCAAGTGTATACTGGCAAGGAAGCTAAACAGGATTCAAACTAAGGAAGTGTATAGTAAACCAGGCTTCATAAATCAAGTTTTTCTAGCAGCATTACCAGAGACCTATACAAGTGGCAGCAGCTGAGACATAAGGTAGAACAACTTGATATATTACATGTTTGCATGGAAAATATGGGCTATCATCTGAGACAAAAAAATGAACACACAATTTAAAGCCAGTTTTGGGGCACATGTCATTGCAGTGATAAAGCTTAGATACTGTTTTCTTGACTATTCAGATTATACTAGCTAATAGAAAAAAAGAGTGAGTTTCCTAACCCTGGGCATAAAGGAGAGTTCATAGAATGCCTGAGGCAGTGCTTACATCGTCACTATATTTTGACTTGTGAATAACCACTGCTTTGGAAGGAACAGTGGATTCTGGCTTCCGGATGTTGAATTCAGGTTTTGGTCGATTCCGTTGCTGAAGATTCTTCCACTCATCTAATGTCATTTCTTGAACCACTTCTTCCATTGGCTCTCTTTCAGCAGCTCTAGAAGTTTACAGTTTTAAAGTAAAAAACGTTAGCTTGCAACATTCCAGGATAAACAAGAGCACTTATCTCCACAGTAGTAATACTAAACAAAACATTTAGAATGTTTCTTCACCAAGTTATTTCCAATTTCACTTACTCTCCACAGAAACTTCATGTGATAGTTTTACTTTAATGTAACTTAGAGTATATATTTATGTACTCTTTGAAATTAATCTTATGAACAAATGCTGTCTGCAGCCTCCTGTATTAGTGCTCATCCAGTCTCATCCTGAATTCAAGCACTTAGATTCCAGATAAAATCATGCCTTTTGATCTGGCATATTCTTAACCCTACGGTTTAACAGTGGATCTACTCCTTGCCAATATAGCCACGGTAAAAAAAACCAAACACTCAGAGCAGTTTTAAAACACTCCTTCATTGCCTTATGCTGCACAAGGACAATATGATATTAATTCAAGTTTCAGTGTAACTTTCAGTCAACAAAAATGATCATCATACGATGATCACACCATGGGATCTTCCAGGTGATTATTAACATTTCCTTTGTTAATTTCACAAGATGCTTCCTTGAATTTTTTGGTCAGATGTAGTAATAGACAAGCAGACACTATTTATCACTTAGCAAAAACAGATAATCCTAGTCAAATTTTCATTTGTCACTAAGTACAATAAAGATATGTCCTAGAAAAACATGGAATATGTCAGAGGCTGCCTTGCATATTTTTGAACTGTAAAGACAGAAGGTTTTATGTCTGTAAGACACAAAGACAAGACACATAAGCAAAAAAAAACAACTTCCACTGAACACTGCTTGAGTACTCTTCTGCCACTTTTCTTCTGCTGACCACAACAGGCCTGCCCAGGACAGCAGCTTTCAGAACACTGCAGGTGTATATTTAACAATACCTACAGAAAGCTATTTCCTACTAACCAGCATCACATACAGGGAGCACAACTTCCTACATCACTATAACTGTCTGCTCCATAAACAGGTCAAATACCGTGAACTACAGGAAAGCCCACACTGATTACTTTAAGATGCTTGAGATACCATTTCTCCTTACACAGAAAACTGCTATGTGTTATGATAGCAGTTGGAGTTGACGAAGTATTTCCCTAGCAATGGCTTTTCTGGAAAGCCCCTTCATTAGAACCTGTCTAGTGGAAGAACGATAGATTTGGTTTTTCTCATTTAGTCATAGTTCCACAGTCCTACCAAATAATTATAATTTCTACGATGTAAATATACACTTTATTAGGTGTAAGCTGGAATTTTTTTATCATGGAAAGATGCAGAGTCAAGTGACAATCAGTGACTATGTGTATTTTGTTTTTAAAGTTATACAAGCAACCCACTGGAATACACACATTTTTTGGACTGTTCTGTACATTACAGAACTAGCCTATATAGGAAAAGGCCTGGTCTCTCTTCTTACCTGATTCTGCAGCAAAGCATTCATATTTATTGCCAGTCAAAATTAGACAGTATTTTTCTAAACACCCAGTATATGACTGGGAGATGCATAACTGAACACTAAAGCAGCCCTTAATTTTAGTTCTAGGATTAACACAGTTATAAATTAACTTCACAGAAGAATAACAAATACAGAAGTCCTGTTCTACATGCCTGCCCTCTGACATGCGTTTATGCCCTGTTATTTTGAAAATTCCAGCTTTATCAACCAGAAATTCAAGGTTAAAAGACTAATATGCAGTCTGTAGTTCCACACTCATTATGATCTGGAACTGTATTAGAAGGACTGTTAGGTAAAATATAAACAGTTTACTGAGTAACATAAAAAGCATACAGGTGAAAGAAGCAGCTACTTCTGGAAAAATAGCAACAGATACTGTTGCAGCTGTAAGAGCACTAAGAACACATAGCACCCAAAATACTTCAATTTGTTGTCCTCAAGAGTAATAAGTCAGGTAACTGCTGATCAATTATCTGAAGCTTCAGTTTTGGGAATAAGTGTTGGAAAAACAAGACTAGTGGTAAACACTCAGAGGAATTCAAGAGAAACATAACTAATAAAAGTGTCTCTATTATACTGGTTTAATTTTTTCCTAAGCCACTACCTCAGTAAATTACATATCTGAACTTTAGGAAGTCTTTTTTCCTCCTCTCCCATGAACTTTTCACCACATTCCAGAGACAATGTTTCAGTCCTTGGCAAGAGTTGCAGAAAGATGCAGAACTGATAGCAAAAACTACTTGAGAACTAGCTATCAATATGTCAATTTGCAAAAGAAAACCAAGAATCATGAGTGGCCATTTAACAGTGTAAAATATTATTTACTGCATTTTCTGTGGCACAAAGACTGCACAAAAGAAGGGCAATAGTGCAAGTATTCAAGAACACTGAATGGCTAACCATTCAGTGGTACAAGATGCTAAAGTGACCCAGCGATTTCAAAACAAGCAACCAAAACAACAATCACCAGAAACTCCCAAGACCAACTAGAAATAAGTACACTCAGGCAAAAGTATCAGCCATCCAAACACAGAAAGAGCCACTAGTAAGGCGGAAGCTCTGAAAGAGGGACCCGAACTCCCCAGACTGCAGGAGCACTGCAGTCATGTATCTGTTCCTTCTTCAACAACATACTATATATCATAAGGAGCCAGATCAACAGTTTTGTTTGGAACAGATGTTATTGCTGGTAGGGTGGGACATCTCAACTGAATGTCTTCTGAGTGGGAAGAGGTGAGAAATCCACAATAGTACTGCAAGACACAAGTCTAAAACACATTATGTACATGGGAAGCCTTTAAAGATGTGCAAAGGAAATATACATAATGCTAAAAAAAGTTTTGCATATCCATGACATTAAGGCAAGACATCCAGGAGGAAAAAAAAACTAACATTGCAGCTTCTATTTTTCTAAGTATTAGAAAGAACATCAGGGGACATCAGTTTTTCCATTAGCAGAGTACATTAAAATCAACTAGACAGGTATGAGAAGCAACAATGAAAACTAGTCGTGCCTCAGGCCTGAAAGACCCCTTTCAGGTCTAAATTGCTATGATCATAAGATACTATGAGGACATTTGACCACACAGCAACTTGAGCTCTCAAAAAGCAAACAGCTATTGCTTTGAAAAGTACACATACATCAAAAACACTCACTTGACAGTTCCAAATGAAACAGTTGTGGATTTACTCTGCAAATATTTAGTTTTTCAACTGCAAAGTACAGTTTTGGTTTTCATTCCAAAGGATGGTTTTAACTGCTAGGTTATTAGCAGTACAAATTTGTTTTAGGATGTCAAGACTCCCAAGGGGAAACACCTATGAGTGAAGCACAGCAACAGAAACCTGCATATCCCATTTTGGACAGAAACTCAACTGCAGCAAGTTATTTTGAGCACCAAGCCATCATGGAAGTGCATTCTGTGCATTACTTTCTACCTTCTAACCTTACACACTTTTAGTAACTGCTTGGTTTGCATTTTCAGTAATCAAATTAATAAGCTCCTTGGCACACCAGCAATCATGCTTACAAAACACTGCCAGACAACTAAGCAGAATCTCTGGACATGAACAAACTGAATTCACAATGGAAGTCCTACCCAATCACTAAATAAGAGCCTTCAGTAATGGTTCCTCTGGCTTCAATGTCTCCAGTAGATGACAATAATGCGTTAACTATGCCTTGATTACTGTGCAGACAGTAAACAAAATATCTTTTCTTTTTAACAGAAGAAAGGCAGATTGAAAGGAATGCTATTTAGCTCAGCTATTATTTTCATATCATTAAAAATAATGACAGCAGGTCTCTCTCAGATCAGTTTTTGTATTGTTCAGCTGCACAAAGCAAATGTTTAGCCAGCTTTTATCAAGAAGTCAATGACATGAAGCTTTTCCACTAAACATAATTTACAAGAGCATTACCACCAGCTATAGAAAAATATAAAGTTAAACAAGGTAAGACCAAACAATTATACAAACTTACTTTGGAAGAAAAACATGGAATCAAATACTTACAAAGCTCTGGCCTGATCTATGAATAACTTTATGTCACCATTAAACAATGACAAAAATCAATAAGCAACAACAAAACAAATAAACAAATGAGATAAATAGCTGAAAAATCTTGAAGATAAATTGATAAAGCTTCCTATTGTGTAACCAAAATGATATATGGCCCCATCAAAAAGGAAAACTATCATGTGAGAAAAACCTCACAAGATTAAATATAAGCTCTGCAAATCCCTTTAGGAAAAGGAATTGATTAGCCCATTTGTTATACTGAATAAAACAAAAAAATCTAATTTGAATTGGTCAACACAAGTGTGTTACATTGTTTGAACGGTGAAGGAAAGTTCAACTGAAAGCAGCTGTGAGGAAAGTTTATATTACTGCACTACCTGTGGTTTTTATACAGAGTTAAGGTTAGGTTTTCCTTTTGCAGTGAAAAAGAGATGCTATATTAGCATGCAGCTTGGGATTATATAACTAAACATTGTTGATACACTCAAGAAGATTTGAGGGTATGGGAATAAACAACTTTATATTACACAAGTATTAAAGAATTGCTTATCCTACAATACTCTGCAAATAGAAGCTCAGGAATGGCAAAACAGTGTCCTAAAGACAGGATCCCATAATTCACAGAAGCCCACACAACTTCTTTTCCGGAGTTGCATAGAAATTAGCCAGTGCCACATCAGAAAGCTACACACCATCTTCATGCAGACAGGTTATTCCCAACTTTCAAAAGTACATTTTTTTACTTGTAATTTTAAATGGAAACACAACAAGAAAGAGAATGAGAGAAGAAACAAACCCAATCTCCTTCTCAATGCAAGCACAGAATTGCAATAAAGCAGTAGAAAATAAACAGTTTCCTCACAGTCACTTTACTGTCAAAACGAGAAAGACCCTAGCAGCAGTCCAAGCAAACACACAGCCATTTATAATATTGAGGCTGTAGCAAAAGCGGAAGGTAACCTAATTTGTGTTAGCTGGATAGCAGGAGCAACCTAAGCACATAAAGCCTTTAAATACAACCTGAAGCCTGAACACAATCCTACCAGCTTTTGCTGTAAACATTAAAATAGCAACAATTCTATCTTGTTAAGGTGTATGCTCTACAACCATCCCTAATGACCTAGACACTATTTACACAATGTCTCCTGTTTTAAAATACATACAGTAACCAAGCTGACACCCCCCCAAAAGGTAAGTGCAGGGAGATTTTTGTAACTCATGTTTTATACATAGATTTGTAAGCCTTGGAACAGTATTTATTGCACTGAAAGGAGTGCACAGTGCAGAATTATGTACTTGTAGGTTACTCGCTTTTTTGAATCATTTGAATTTCAGTGGATTATGCCTAAATTAACATTTAAATAAAAAATACAAACAAGAGTAAAATCTCCAGAAAGGCTCCCAGTCTGACTGAATACCTACTGATCTCTAAGAAAGATGAAAGAGTTAAAGATAACAGCCAGATTCCACCAGAGGCTATTTCTCCACTGTATACACTTCTCATGCCTTAAGCTCAAAAATGAACCGATACTGGGACAAATCTACAAAGAGCTTGAATTGAAGTAGAAACAAGTACAAGTGTGAAACAAGTAAAGGTACCAGCAACTGACTAAATCAAAATTTTTAAAAAGCTGAATAACTGTTTTCATATTTAGCTAATACAGGGCATTTTTGCCAGTGTATCTACACTGCCCATCCAATTCAAGTTAGCCTAGAAACATTTTTTCAGTCATAAGTCATTCAAAGACAGACTTCCCCATGTGTATACACCTTTAGCTATATATTAAAACCTACTCTAAAATTTAAAGAATCAAAGCTGTATCAACTGATTCTTACAGGGTTAAACAACCTGAACATATAAAACAGTTTTTGTAGTCTAGTTAGCCTTATAATTAAGAAATAAACCCATATCACTAATATCTGGAGCTGCTGCGTGAGGTAGAAAAGGCTTCACAGGAACAGAAGAGGTTGACATACTGCACTGACCATCTTTCATTCATTAGGAGATATGTACCACATGCTATTTAATTATTCTTTAAGCCTCTTACTTAGAAAAGACTATCCAGTTATTTTTCTTAAGCCGCTGTTCATTTATTTACTGTGACACTGATTAGAATGAAAGACAGAAGACAAGGGGCACATTTCTCTCTCAGTTTTTCTCCTTCTCTCCAGAAAGTTTTTCCAAGTTCTGCTGTGGAATTTTATGAATAGATGATATCTTCATGATAATAGTGATTGCTGAATACAAACTTAGAGTAGCTCAGTATATTTTAAATGTGTTTGTATGATTGCATGGTCACCTTGAATACCTGTTCTCAGAGAACATCAAAAAGCATGGTAGTTTCTACAAATTAGACAACTTAAAAAGGTAAAATATAATATGTAGCTCCTCCTTAAATTATCACCAAATCTTAGGAAGTTAAGCATCACTGTGCAATTAAATGCTGTCTCCAACTGTATAAATCAAGCTTTAATTAGAATTAGGGACACATTTTCCATACTTACAAAGACAAAGCTTTTCTATTTTTAAATATGTGCACTAGCAAAACTTCACAGTTCACATTTCAAGTGTGCCCCTCAATACACATACATCCCTAAGAGTTAATTGTTTCCTTTGCATCTAGAAAGAAAATATTTGTCTAACTGTACTTGCTCAGAGGCTCTCCTTCAGATGTCCCTGGCTGTTCAGGAGTTTCCACTGTCTCCTCCATAGATGCAGTCTGTTCTGTCCCACTGAAACAGTAAGCAAACAAAACACACAACAAAACAAAACAACAGTCTTGAGTCACACTGGAAAAAACATAATAAATACATTACTTTTACCAGAATTCCTTGGTAAGGAGGAAAAAAAGGGAAAACTCCTTGATTATAATCAGAAAGATGTATTGAGTGACTAGTTGAGCAACTAACAAAATGAGTAATATTAGGAAAAGACAACTTCTATTTCCTTAAAAAAAAAAAGCACGGATGAAGATGAAATAATTCAATAATGAATACTAATCATGATTAGTATAAGTTGCCAATATAACACTGACATTTGGGGTTGCCTTTTTACTTCTTTTAAAGAACTGAAGTTTCCATTTTCTCTAATACAGACTTTAATTCACTGTCAAATGACATCATTCACTGCAGTAGCAGCCACACATTTAAAATTAAAACCTTTTAGCTTCAATGCATGATTAGCACAATTAGGGCACAGACATGCTTTAGAACAGTTCAGAGAGCTTTAATTTTTTAAATTGTTTAATTCTCTGTCACACAAAAAAACATTGATATAAGTTCTGATGCTAGTGAACTGAAAAAACCAAAAAACCAGCAAACCTTAACTAGGGAGAAAATATGTAAGGGCCAATAAATACCTTCTAAGTTCATGAAGCCTTCCCTGATATCCTAAAGAAGATAATTTTCTGCTAGGTAGTTTTGTACTATCAGTTCAGAATAATGTAACCTAGCTGATCCTTTGAAAAGCCAGATTACCTAACCAATCTACTTGTAATATGAAATTCTCTAGAAGGGAGAGAAGTTAGTATAACTTTTCAGAAGAATTTGGAATATCAAGACCCAAAAACTATTACACACCAAGGCTGTATTTTTCAAACTTTTAGCATGATTGTCTGAATCCATTAAGTTTTAAAACTTCATTTTATTTAAAATAAAATTTTATTTTTAAAACAATTTTGTCAATGAATGGGTATGTGGCCAAAGATATTTGCTATAAGTTCAAAGCATTGCCTTTTCTCCATCCTTCATCAGCCATCAATTAAAGAGTTCTAGATGTATATGAGAACAAAAGCTACTGGAAAGAGTAATGTATTGCTAGGTCCAAAGAATAGACAAAAGCCGACATAATCAGTGAGCTTTTACAAATCTAAACAGAAACCAGTACCACTAAGAGATACACAGAACTGAATGGAAAATTCTTGATTTTTTTTTTTTTTTACCTCAAAGTGGCCACCAATCATATTTTGCTACTGGTTTTTCTAGCACTTTAAAATGTACTTCAGTGGTACAGTCAGCTCAAGATTACCTTCAGAGACACACTGAATAGTACTACAGTTTTGCAAATTAGAAATTATCCATAAAACTCCAGAAAAGAGAATGGATTTAAAGCCCAGTAACAGAGTATGAATCTTAGCATTTTGGAACAATTCCACTAAATACCAGAGTCCCACTTATCTGACTATTGAGAAAAGTAATAGCTTATTTCCATTAAAAGACAACTCAGCTCCACTCAAAAGATTCTGGTAGTCTTCAGTGAACAAACATCATAATGCCTTTGCTTCAATTTAATCTCACCATCATGAAGGAGCCAAGTTAAAAAAACTGTAAAATTACATCAATTACAACAATAATAGAAAGTCATGCTTTTAAAGCTCAAAATGGACATGAAACTGCTGAAAATTATGATCTAACATAGGCCACAGAAAAATACGATCTATGATGGGCACAAGTATATGGCATATCTCATATCATCTTTAGTTGTTCTGAAGTTATGAGCTCCACCTCCACCCTTTTTGTCATCTGCTTTCACTCCTCTAGAGAGGAAAACAATTCTGAGTTTAAGTGGTTTTTTTCCTTTTTTTTTTAATGACCGTTGACTTTTTGACAGCCAACCTGGATATAACAGAAGGGAACAGAATACCTAAAAGACAGTACTGCAGTGCTGATTATTATTTACTTGTATACCAAGTTAGAAACAACACACAGAACACTTACGTTTTATCATGCCCACTTTGTCTTACAGGTTCCCGTTTTCTTCTTTGGTCAAATCTATCAGAACTTCCATTTAATCCACGACCTCTTCCTCTGCCTCTCATTCTGCCTCTTCCTCCACCACGACCTCTTACTGGTCTTTCATAGTCTAATCTTTCCACTAGTCTAAAAAGAAGATAATTAGTCAGATTTTTTTTTTTTAATAGAACCGTTAACAAGAAAAAAAAACATATTGTTATATTTGTGCAGCTGTGGGACACAATATATAACAGCTACTGCACAATTTTTAGAGTGCATCTTTATACAGCACACACTTCAGCTGTTTTGGTTTTGTCATTAAAAATGGACATAAACAGAACTCTGAAGGAATAATTACAGGACACAGGAACAGAAAGATCATCAGTTATTAACACTGAAAACATTACAGAAATTAAAGAAAACATTATAAAACTGTCAAATCTTCACAACTTTATCAAGCAATAATATCTAAACCCATATTTATATGCAACTGCTAAAAATTCCAGACAGTTTGTTAAACATCAACTATCATGGTATAAAGTAAGAACAGCCACATTCTGAAGCATTAAAGGTTTAGGTGGCATCTTCTAGTACTTATGAAGAAAGCAAAATCAATATGGATTCACTGTCCAAGCAGCAAGTTCCAACTTGGAACCTCCCACATGTTCTGCAAAGCTTGCTGTGTGAGCTCAGAAACAAACATTATAAATATGCTGCTGACTAGGGGGTACATTTTCAGATCTTTACATTTTTCAGTTTTGTCTTATATTTCTAACGTTCAACAAAAACGTTCCAATTCAAACCCCAAGGAAGCTGAAACTACAGCTCCAACAGGCATGAAGTAAGTAGTCTTGCAAAAAACCTGCACACAAATAATGCACAGATCATCTGTGAGAGACCTTAGTTTTCTCTGCAGGATACATACCGTTCCACTGAGAATTCCACTTGTCTTTGTGTTCCATAGGGACAGTATTCCCTGAAAGATGGTCTCCATTCAGTTTTGTCTTGCTTCCCCTCTGTACTTCCGTTAGCAGACCCTTGTCGTTCTCCCTGCCTGGGTGCTCGCTTTGGGCCTACACAAACACAGGCAGGGATTACCAACAGCTCAACAGTAACACAATTGCAGTTACCAAACTACTGACTCTGGTGAGTTGGTTATACCTCCAAACCCAAGTCCACCAAAATATGAGAAGTCCTTATAGCTAATGTTGCCAGAAATTTTAAAAGACACATACTTATTTTACCTTCTGTATTGATGAACCTGCAAAGTACTATGGGTTTTGACACATGTCAGAGATCTCCAGAAAACATAGTCTAAATAAAAATCTCATTTTGCTCACAAGGAGAACAAAACCTGTTTCTCTCATGTTTTCAAGGATCATCAAAGTGTCGTACAGGATGAGGTGGAGAAGCTTCAGTGGAAAAGATTAATCGAAAGATAGCAGCAGAAGCAATGAAGATGAGGGAAAGAGAAGGACCCTTTACAGACAGGTGCTGATTGTGAAACAACACACCTCCTGCAGATGAGCTCAGTTTAGAAGCCTGAGCCTCGAGGTAATCTAAACTCATGGCCACAGTATCAAACAACCAGCACAAGGCTACCTCCTCACACTGCTGTTCTGTGGAAGAAAGCAGCATTCAACAACAGTAAAGGTCACTGAATTCAGGTGGCACGGACCCAAACAGTAAGTAGAACTACTTAACACCACTAATTCTAGAACATAAACATATTCCAAGATAAAATATATTTAAGCTTTTTAGAGTTTTGTTCAGCCAATGTTGGGTTTGGGGAGGATCAGGTTGGACAATGGAAAGAAATTGTGAATTATAATAGAATGAATTGAAGTTTTACACTCAACCTGTATACATGTAGCAGAAAATTAAAGTTCTTTATGTCCTTCCTTTCCCATTTTCCCAAATTCTGATCTCTATCTGGGACCAAGTTCTCCAGAAGCAAGCAAGTCTTTTTGTCTGCTAGGCCTCTGTATTTAAACCAACACCTTTTTCAGCCAATAGTGTAAGTTAATCAAGGAACAGAAAGATGGATCTCAAACAAAACTGACCTACTGTTTCCACAAGTACCTGTGGAATGCTGAGCAGATTACTGTACTCAGGTTAGTGGACAAGTGACAGTGCTGGCTATTGTACCTCTGTTGCTAGAACATAGAGAGGAAAAAAAGGCTATTTTATGTCGCAATATTAAGATGCAAATAAATTCATAGCCCCATAGAAATGCCTATATAAGAAAATTTTTTATCAAAGCTTAGGTGGTAAGGATGAAGTCTAATACCATTTGTAAAGAGAAAGCTTCAAAGAGCTATCCACTTGGTGAGTAAGTGGTAAATAAAGCTTTTTGTTATGCAATAAGAACAGTCATATTTGTACAGAGAAGATAGTTTTATATATGGTGCAGAAGCAACTCCAGCTTTACTTTTCTTTAAACTACAAACCACTTGACATAATATATTCCAGTAATTCTCTTTTCTCAAGGTTTTAAGTTACTCGATCCTTAGAACACTAAGCATATTTGCATTACCCAAATTATGATATAATCTCTGGATAAATGACAACTTTTGAAATCAGTTTCTGAGTAAGCTTTTCAGAACAAGACATTTTAACATAAAGCAAAATTATAAAAGATACAGAATTGCACATGCAGCTGGGAAACTTCTGGTCTACACATATCTCAACTACACTACCAACTACGTAAGTGTTAATTCTAAATTGGAATCTTGCTGTGGAAAAAAATTACTACTAATTTCTGACCTCATTTTAGTTATTTTGTTTGGATCTGAATGTACAACAATGCATAGAAGACTATGGTGTTATTTTTGATCCTCTCATTGGCTTTCAGAAGCACCAGTTATTCTAAAAAGATTCCTTTGTCAAAAATGCAGTAGTCAGACACCCATCCCTACATACTTAGTATTAACCTCAATTTCACCTTGAGATTCAAAGACCTCCTTAGAGTTAGCAAAACAGTACCAAAAAAAGAAGACATTTTAAAAATATAGTGTCTCATTCTATTATCCAGTACTGCTTAGAAGTACATCAAAACAAGTCTTCTTGCCAGACATGTCAGTGTATTACATGCCAGCAGCACTGAGCATGCTGGATGGAGACATCTGTTCTACTCCAATTTCAGTGCCAGGCTATTTCACTTTGATTCTAACAGGTGGCTTCATTTACTGCAGATGGATTTTAAACACTAGAAAGACTATTTTATACAGGTAGTAAGTGCCATAAAAACATCTTTAATTGGTTTGACAGACATGAAGTAGTGGATTAAAGCAGCATTCAGCACCTGTATCTCTCTAGTAGGACAAGTCACCCTCAGGGCGGAAGTTTGTGTGACCTGCTTGTGAATCAGTTCAAAAAAACAGCCCGACTTTCAGCTCTGCATGTAAGTGCAAACCAAACTGAAGCCTGGCAGCAGTGACAGGATAAGCTATACAATTTAGTCCTCTGCTACGTGTATGCTTTAACACAGACTCAGTTTAATTTATAAAGCTCAAGGGCCACCTACCCTTTTGAGGACAAAAAAACCAAAGCAACAAAATCAAGACAAAGCATAAGCCATCATGTATATCACTGACATCATAACTTAAAGAACTGGGGTACTTTGAATGCTTGCTTAGTAACTACCTCACCAAGTGCACCCCAATTTTGTCTGCTTGCTTGTATATAGAGTCTGGTATGCAGTTTTCTCCAAAACCACAAAAAAAAAACAACAAACAAACAAAAAAAAAAGCTTTAGAGTTCAGTGGGTCATCTACTTTGGGCCTTACAAACACAATTCTGAAAACTGAAGATCACTCTTCCCTATTTACCTAGTTTAGCCAGTTCAAAGTGGTTTTTCTGTGTCTTAAAATTATATCTGTAGTCTGTATTCACCTGAATATGTGTCCCACCATTGTCCACCACAGCTTCCCTGTATTGTTACTGCATAAGCCCAGTCTGTTGGCTAAACTGACTATCACTTTATTTTCTAAACTGAGGAATCAGAAAAGAAATCTGATGTTTAAAGTGTTTCATCACATTTAGCTTTTTTTTTTCTGAGAAGAAGCAGCTGAAGTATTAGTAGAGGGAAAGGATCTGTAAATACTAGAATTGCCAGGTACTAGAACTAGACAGTACTAAAGAAAAAAAGCTCCATTTCATGAGATATTGTTAAAACTCTAGATCATACAGAGCAAATACATGCAAGTAGTTCTCACTTTCCCCACAATAACACTTCACTATTAGTATTAGTTTTGCTAACACTACAGCACTTCAATAAGGTTTTCTAGAGAAATGTTTTTAGTAAGTATATACACAGAACTTGCAAATGGAAAAGCAGAACTTGTATTTTTATAAGCTGCATTGCCTGGTTTCCCAGACACTGGATATCTATGTATTAACAGACAGATTTAAAACAACACAGCAAAATGTAGCTGCCTTTCCAGTGTTGCTGTCTAGCTCTCTACAAGTTTCTCCATCCATATCGTCTATCCTCATCACCTATCCTCAAACAAGCGAGACTTTTGCTTGGAAAGAGGTCTCTCTCTAAGTTTTGTGGCTCTTCACTGACCTGTACTGAGAGAATGTGCTCTAGACTTTTTAAAATTTTTTGTTTTAGAAGAGTTTTTCTGTAGAAAGCCTTGACTTTGGACAAATACTACAAGGAGCCCAACTTGCAACTGCTATCAGTGACTATAAGCTAAAGTAGAAACCTTGCTGTTTCTCCTGCTCCCCAGTGTAAGGAGTATTATGATGTGATGGTGGCAGCTGGCATGCAATTCACAAGCTGAGGGAGGTAACTGCTTGCAAAGAGCAAATGGGAAAAAGAGTGTTTGTGGAAAGGTCACATTGACAGAAGACTCCCCAGCATAAAAAGAGACATCTGACAAATCAGAGATGCAGAATTACATTTTTTGCCTGAATGGATAGATCTAATCATTATAGCATGGGGTGCGATCACCAAAAGCTTACAAAAGGAGCAAAAAATACCAGAATTGTTGAAAACCACAGCCACAAAGCTGTGGAGTAAGATCAGCATTGATTACTGAAACTGATAACTTGGGATTGGATCAATAAATAAAACCAAAAACAAATAAATGTAAACAAACACAAAACAAAACCCATTCAAACAAACAAAAAAATCAAAACAACAAAAACCACCACCCCACCCCCCAAAAAAAAAAAGGGAGGAAACCCCCTCCACCTTTGAAAAATTATCCTTCTTCCCAGTATACTTCAAAACTACAAAGTTCCCAAAATAGGTCCAAAGCTTTGGTAGAAATACCTTGACCAAACAAAGCAACAAAGAAAACAATTGTGAGGAATTTTTTAGGTACAGTAGGGTACTGAAGACCCCAATTACCAGGGCTAGGGCAGTTAAGTAAACCACTGAAAGAAGTTATCAAGCCAGAGGAAGTAGAACTGGAGTCTGAAGCAAGAAAGGATATTCCAAGCCATAAAAGGAATATTGGTTATAGGTCACATAATTGTGTGTGTAACACAAAGTAGAACTGATTCTTAAACAATATGATAAATATGATTGTCCTGTCAAAACATGAATTTCTCTGAATTTGAAATTATTAATTTGATTATTATTACTTTAAAAGGATGCCGTGTTTTGAAGTCAGCAATTCTGCTATTTGTTCTTTCCAACAGTGAGCCGCATCATGATTGCTACAAGGTGTTTCACACCAGCCAGCTATGGACAATACTGTAAATCAGCCTCTAGAGACCTTAGATCTAATACTGCTCACCAATGGATCATCATACTATGTAAACAGACACACAGAGGCTATACATTGGTGAGAAACTTTGAGGTGCTTGAAACTGAACCTCTACAGCCCCTGCTGATTGCCCAAGAGGCCAAATTAATTGAATTAGCAAAAGCAGCATTACAGTGACATGACCAGCAAGCACCACTATTTACACTGAGTCTAAGTAAGCTTTTGGAGTGTGCCATTAAAAAAAAAAAAAAAAAAAAAGTCCCTTGCTTCAGCAGAAAAATCATATTTCTGATGGATTTTAAATCTATCTGTTGGTAGCTATTAAGCTTCCAAGGGAAATTCCTGCAGTA